TGACATTTCCTTGTGTAGAAACTGTTCAGACAATGTCTCCCAAGGATTTCTTTTTTTTTTTTACTGAGGGGACATAATTGCTCTGCACACAAATATGCATGCCCTATTTCTTGTTTTGAGTTCTTTGGGGGGGGGGCTTTGCTTTTTAAAAAACACATTGGTTTATTTATAGAGTTCAAATACCTTGTTTTTCTCACCAGATCTTTCCTATTTCCTTCACCTTCCCCTCAAATTGTGGGACCCTAAGATTAACACCCCCACCCATCCATCCCCACCCCTCTGCTTCCCTCATCCCCCACCCTTAGATCCTCATACTCATTCCACAATAATGATTTTATAAATTATTTGTCCTTGTGGGATAGAGTTAGTTCACTCAGCATAATGCTCTCCAGTCTCTCCCAAGTTAGGTAATAATTTACAGTTATACTTCCTGCGTGCTGCCTAGTATTCCATTGTGTGACTGTACCATAATATCTCAGTCCTTTCAATTGTGGTTAAACATCTGGGCTGTTTACATGTTCTTCAGTTGTGAATAATGCTGCTATGAACATTATTGTATAAGTTTCTGTTTTTGCTTCAGTTCTCATTTTCTCAGAGTATATTCCTAACAATGGAATAGGTGGGTCATATGGAATTTCTGGGTCGCACTTTTTGAGGAAGCGTCTGTTTTTTGGCACTGAATCCTGTTAACTATTCTTGGGGACTAGGCTGAACACTGGTCTTTTAACGTGAATGCCATGCTGTTTTCTTAGGGAGATAGGGAGGGGCTTCTGGCCAGATAGGGAGGCCTACTAGGTGCACCATGTCTCTGTGACAGGACCCTGCCCATCTGAGCCATCAGCACTGAGGACCAGTCACCCCTGGACCCTGCCCATCTCCTGTAGACAGCTGAGGCCAGCAGCTCAAGGAATGGCGTCCTCCATGTCACAGCTTGCACAGGGCAAGAGACCCAGGGTTGAGGATCGCCTGCTGTCCTTGATGTCTGATCAGAGCACACACTTTATTATTTCCTTTACCATGAGGCTTCGTCTGACATACTTTGGACATGTTGTAAGGAGGGACCGGTCCTTGGAGAGGGGACATCATGCTTGGGAGGATGGAGGGACAGCACAGGAGGGGAAGGTCCTCTTTGAGGTGAATTGATTCAATGACTGGGGTAATCAGGAAGGTGTATTGGAGACAGTGCGATTGGCACAGGATAGAGCAGGGTTTAGGGCTGTTGTACAAAGGGTTGCTATGAGTCACAAGTGACTCGACGGCACATAACAACAACATGTTATCTCTCCACAAACTCTTCAGTTCATGAGTTGTTTGTTTCCTTTTCCCTGTGTATATTAACAGTTTGGTCCTTTGACCTACTATAGTATGTTGTTGTTGTTAAGTGCTGTCAAGTCGTAGATGACTCATAGCGACCCCATGAAGGAAAGATCTATTTATGTAACATTCATCTTTTCTCCAGATTCATAGGGTTTCAGGAGGCAAGCTATTTCTGAAGTAGATGCCACTCCTGCTTCCAAGCTTGTTTCACCCAAGCACTGTCCACCATGGGTAACCATTATTGCATTAGATATATTGGTGTCACCCTGTTCAGCTTCACAACAACCATGAGTTACCTCTGTACAGCAAGTGGACAGACCAGTGCTATACGACCTAGATGAATGTTTGACCAAAAACAATTAAAACCAGGCCTGAGGGCCGCGGATTAAAATCACCCACCTTTGGCTTGGTAGCGTAACTTTCTGTACACTAGGCCAACAGAGCTCTCTCTGCTGTTGTTAACTGCCGTTTAGTCATAGATGACATATAGTATAAACGTTCATATTCCATTTCTGGGGGGAGCTGGGTCAGAAGGGATGTGGAAGCATCCCTGTCCTCTGTCCCTCATGCCCCTTTGGGGGAATCGGAGCAGTCCGAGAGTGTCAGCAGCTCTAACCGATGGTTCACCTCAGCCTCGATGCTGCCGTTTCTTCGCTGGCCTTTCATGCTGACTTTCCTTGGGCACATGCTTCCCACTTGCCTGCCTCCTTCTCAGCTTCCCTCCTTCCTTGTTCTCTCCACCCCGGAAATGGGACCACCACTCTTCCCCACCCCTTAACCCACTCTGCTATGGATTTCCCCCCAGTTCTAGACACTATGGAAGAGACTGGCATGTTCACATGCCTCTGATGGCACACCAACCTTCTCAGCTTTCTTTGCTTGTTTTAAGTCAATGAGAAAAACAGAGGAGCTAACGTGTTAATGAAGATTTTACTTCCCTCCAGACTGAGGCATTTTCATTTTGTACAAATAGCCCCTCTTGTGAACGTGTGTAGCTGTAAGGTTAGGGTCTTTGACTGGGTATGTGAAGAACATTTTGTGACACTTGAAATTCTAGAGCAGGATTTTGCTGAGGGGAGAGCCCCATTCCTGCAAAACTAGTTACTCACGGTGGCCTCATGCATGTCATAGTAAACCTGTGCTCCACAGTACATTCAGTGGTTTGTTTTTCGTAGAGTGCCAAGCCTTTCTTCCAAATACCTCTGGGTGAACACAAACCTTTCGCTTAGCATCTGAGTATATTACCCATTTGCACTCTTCAGGGATCCCTTTATAATATAATATGATGTTCCCGTCTTCATCAAACAATACCCTCAAAAAGTCTTCAAAGGATTGCTTTGGGTTCTGATAAGTATGAAGATATGTCTTCCCTCACCAAGAATCTGTTCGAGCCTTTTGTCCACAATTTAAAGTTTTGGGTTTGTTGTGTTTTGACTTCATTGTTTTTGCTAACTCAGTAAACCCTGTGAGACTGAGATTTTTGACCATTTGGTTCAGTGCCGAATCCCTGAGCACTAAGAATCGTGCTTGTGGAGTCAGCTTGGACTCAGTGACTGTTGACTGAAAGGGTGACATTTACTCTATGATGACGTCAGTGTAAGAGCTCCAGCTGAGGACGTTTGGGACAGGGAGCTCCATGGAGCTCAGATCCCATGCCCTCACACTCAGCTCCTGCCTTGTTCTTCACGTGCTCGTGTGAGCCTTGCTGGAATGACCCTTCTATCATGTCTCCACCAGACAGCCAACATTTTTAGAGTCATCTTTGCCCTAATTTCATCCTTGGGGCCAGGAGAACCGCCAACACTTGGGAAATTTCTCACCACTTGAACTCGAATGACGTGAACATAGCCTCTAAATTTTATTTTGGGTTCAGTTCCTATCTCAGAATGACCTAAAAGGTTTGTGCAGAATTCCAGCTATGACAGCCACATATCCTGGGGGAAACATCATGTTGGGGAAAGTAGAAGGTCAGCAAGAAAGAGGAACATGCTCAGCAACATGGGCTGCAACAGTAATACAGCCATGAACTTGAGCGTGGCAGAGACCAGGAAGATGGCACAGGATGGGACGAAGTTCCTGTCTGTTGTGCATAAGGTTACTATGAGTCATGGTCAACTCGACAGCACTCAGTAACATGTCCATCAGATACTCAAACAATGCCCAAGGCCTGCCACGTCCTTGGAGCTGATAGAAACTGCTGAGGTCCTAAACAGCTATTACAACAGCAGCCAAGGACAGTGATTATGGAACCATGGGAAGGAGAGGGGGCGTGGAGGGAAGAAGGGAGTGTTGAAATTAACAAATATTTACTTAAAGATTCTCAAAGCCTGCTTATGTTAGCTTTGACATTTGTTAAATTTCATGTTTATTTCAGTACTGTTGTAAAATATTTATTGCTTAGATTTTTCTCACCTTAAAAGAGTTCCAGAGCTTTTGCAATGTATGTTGAGTAATCTTGGGAATTATGTAAAGCCAAATAGATGTAAAAATCAGAATTACAAGTATCTTTTTAAAAATATGACAAAAGATGTTAATTATAAATGCCGATGTATTCAAGTATGTTTTGTGTTCAAGATTGTTGTTGCTGTTGTGTACCCTGAAGTCAAAAAGAATCATAGCTGGCCCTCCAGCAGGTTTTCAGAGGCAGTACACATCTCATGGGGGGAGATTGCCCATCTTTCTTCCACTTGCCTTTAAGATTACAGTGCAGCTTCTTATCCCTTGACCATCAGAGTTGCAAGGTGGAAACCTCTAAAATAAAATTAATAGCTGCACAAGTATTTCAAAGAAGCTTACCAAAATGTTGAAGAATTCTTGTGTAACGTACTATAATTTAATGAAGAAAAAACCAAATAAACAAACAAAACCAAAGAAAACCCCACTGTTGTCCGGTTGGCTGATTGTGACTCACAGCAGTCCTGTAGGAGAGTAAATCTATCCCATGGGCTATCAAGGCCAGGAGCACTGATGACAGTAAGTACTATGTCAGGCTAAGAGCTCACATTACTCAGAGCTTCAGATCCACCAGCCAGTGCATGAGAGACAGATGTGCAGTCTACTCACGTCGTGATTTGTATCATCACAAAGTCTGGTGGAAGGTCATTATAAATTTAACATGGAAGCAGACCACCTTCTCTTTCTCCCACTGAGAAGTCTTCAGCAACCAGCCTTCAGTTAACGTCCACTGAAACCCCTGGACCATCTTTGTTTATCAGTTGTTGTTGTTGTTGTTATGTGCCATCGAGTCGTTTCCGACTCATAGCGACCCTATGCACAACAGCTCTAAACCCTGCCCTATCTGCGCCAACCGCACCGCCTCCGACACACCCGTCCCGATTACCCCAGTCACCGAATCAATCCATCTCATAGAGGGTCTTCCCCTCCTGCGCTGTCCCTCCACCCTCCCAAGCATGATGTCCCTCTCCAAGGACCCGTCCCTCCTGGCAACATGTCCAAAGTATGTCAGACGAAGCCCCAGAATCCTTGCCTCCAAGGAGCAGCTTTATCAGTAGCATTTCAAAAAGTCAAAACCACTAGTTTTTGGCTGCTAGAATTAGTTCAGGCTAATTTCCTGTAACACCATTAGTACAGCTCATCTGATCGACGCGGAATAATTTCCTTGACCTTTGATGAGTTTGCTGTTGGATTTTCCCCCCTCTAATCTTAGTTTCCTCTTTTTTCAGGAATCCTGTTCACGATGCTGGTATTTGGACCAGCCTGTGGATTTATCCTGGGCTCTTTCTGTACCAAAATCTATGTGGATGCCGTCTTCATTGACACAAGTAAGGATATCTGAATATTTACCTGTCACAATAAGCTTTTTTTTCTCCTTAAAGAAAACAGTAGCCTGTAGATTCTAGAACCTGCCTCCTGAGTGATGTGTAACCTTAATGCATTCATCTTCTTAGCTGACGGGCATCGATGATTGGAAGGAACAAACATTGGTCTTGGTTCCAAGGGTATAGGTTTAAGTTCAGGTTCTGCATTTGTCTAAGATGCCTAAGCTTACAGAGTTATTTTCACCACTACAATATGTGTTTTCTTTATCTGCAAATTAATAGTATGATCTTCAGTTTGAACCCACTCAGAGGCCCTCAGTAGAAAGAGGTCTTACAAGAATTAAATGAGAAGAGGGAAGTGAAACCCAAACTCAGTGGCATTGTGTTGATCCCGACTTAACAGCATTTCTGAGGCTCTAAATCTTTACAGAAGCATACTGGCTGCATCTTTTTCCCCCATGGAGTGACTGGTGGGTGTGAACCATCGACCTTTTAGTTAGCAGCCAAATTCTTTAACCACTGTGCTACCAGGACTCCTTAAAGATGGAACTGTCTGCCGTATATTGGCCCTTTGGACTATATGAAGACCCTGTCTCCTAAGCTCTGAATGAGAGAGCACATGGAAATACAAAAACCTGAATGGGGTCAGTGAGACAAAGCATTTGGAAGCCTGTCTTTGAGACATGGTTGTGATGGCCCTTGTCAGGAGATAGTTTTAGGCAAAACTTCTATGCCTTAGCACACGAGTGAATGTGAAATAAAGCATGTGCTTCTCAAGTTGCTCTGAGCTCCCCATCCAAGACCGTGTGCCTGGACAGTACACAGGTCAGCATGGGCTAGGTTGTGAAACAGTCTGTGGGGACTGTTTTAGTCCCCAAATCAACGAATTTCACAGCACAGAAGTATTTTTGGCTGCCCCATATGCCTAGTGCAGTTAGATGGTCCTGGGGAAGGTGGGACCTGGTTCCTCCTTGTGGTCACAGCCTTCATCATGACCTCTGCTTCTGCAGTGTCCAGGCAGGACCCTGAACGGTGAGGAATTACTTGGTGACACTTTTTTTCCTTTCAGCCATTTACTTTTATTTATAGTTTGTGCTCAATGCCGATCAGTTCCATAACATGAGAAGTTACTGAGAATCAAAGCCTAAATACACAGGCAAATCTACAATCCAAACAGATGTACAGCGTTCAGATATGAAGCAAAGAGAGGGTTTATTCACACACACAGTAGCTTGAGATTTGTTGGATCTGGTGGTTTCCATATGGTAGTTTCTAACCATGAGGGGGGAAATGACTTTGGTTTTCAAACTGCTGTGTTCATATGAGATAACTGGAACATCTAAGCCTCTGAAGGTCAAATAAACAAGAATCTAGAAATAAAAAAGGCAAACGTGTGAAGGAGCCAAATGTAATAAAAATCAGGAATTTGGGAAGTTATCAGTGATCTCTTGTCTTCATTGAATTCACAAACCTTTATAGTCTCCTTGTAAATACACTTTTTTCTTTTTTTTTATTGGGAAAAACATATTGGGGGTACAAGGAGGTGAGGGTTGGGGGCAGAAAGGTGAGGATGGGCCAGGATGCAGTTGCAGAGCTGCACAGTTTGGTCAGTGGGGGGAGCAGGTAAAGGAAATGATGAGGGTCCAGAGGGGACCAGATACTAAAGAGGAATGACAAGCATTTTTCCAATGGTAATTAAACCAATGTCTTATTGATTTGGGAATTGGATGCTGACTCTCTGGCTTCTTCGTGCTGAACAGGAGCGTAGATATAAAGGGGGGAAGGGAGGACACTTTATCACCTTACTGGTGGTCTTGGGATAAAGCTGCTTGCCTTCTTGCTCTGTTAGAAGATATTTTCCTGTCATTTGCTCCCCTCTGGACTGCAAAGTGTTTTCCCAGGTGGGTCCAGTGGGGATGGCTGGTTGAACCGAGAGGCTCCATCCTCCTTTGCTTCCTTAGCTGTCAGTTGTATTTCCTTTTTTTCACTGGCACTGGGTTCAGGGTCAATTCTGGAGTAAAACTCAGAGTTAAGGTTACGTATAGGAAAGGGAGCAAACCTAGAGAGAACGAACTTGTGAGTAACAAATAGAAGGGCTTTGAGGGTGTTGCTTTCAGGTTTGGTGCGGGGGAGGGTGGCAGAAGGTGGCCTAGGTAACATTCTCTGGATACCCTAGGCATTCTTTTTTTTTTCCTCCTTCCCCACCCAGGGGTCAATCTGGGGACAATGGCACAATCTGGGGACTGAGGAGCTCACCCTGAGGGCCGCGACAGCTCACCCCAAGCTGAGGGCCGAGGGCAGCCCACCCCGGGCAGAGGGCCGTGATGGCTCACCCCGAGCCAGGGGCAGAGGGCAGCCTGCACCAGGCAGAGGGCTGAGAACAGTCCGCCACGGGCAGAGGGCCGAGAGCAGCCCGCCCCGGGCAGAGGGTCGAGGGAAGCCCTCCCCGGGTAGAGGGCTGCGATGGCTCACCCTGAACCAGGGGCCGAGGGCAGCTCGCCCCAGGCAGAGGGCCACGATGGCTCGCCCCGAGCTGGGGGCCGAGGGCAGCCCTCCCCGGGCAGAGGGCCGAGGGAAGCCCTCCCCGGGTAGAGGGCCACGACAGCTCACCCTGAACTGGGGGCCGAGGGCAGCCCGCCCCGGGCAGAGGGCCACGACAGCTCGCCCCGAGCCGGGGGCCGAGGGCAGCCTGCCCCGGGCAGAGGGCTGAGGGAAGCTCGCCCCGGGCAGAGGGCCGAGGGAAGCCCGCACCGGACAGAGGGCCGTGACGGCTCACCCCGAGCCGGGGGCTGAGGGCAGCCCACCCCGGGCAGAGGGCCGCGATGGCTCGCCCTGAGCCGGGGGCTGAGGCCAGCCCATCCAGAGCAGGGCAACACCCCCCAGGAGCTGGCTGGTATACTCCCTCTCCAATTGCCTCTGCCCCAGTCTGGTCCCCTCACCTGACTGAGGACTCTATGGTCAGGGATAGTGTTTCCAATTCCAGCACTGCCACTTTTACACACCCCCCCCATAAGTGGTCATACTATATTTTGAAGTAGGTGTCACTGCCCTCCCCCTTTATATATGATAAAGGGAACCTGAGAATTGTGAACAGACTCCCCCCAGGTCTAACCATCTCTTGGCAGAAGCATTCAATAGAACAAAATATGTGGTGCATTTAGGATGTCGGTCCTCTTGTGCATGCTGCCACTGTTAAAGTCATCAGACTCACAATGACTTTCAGCAATCCATTGCATAGATAATCATCTTCTTTGGCCTGTCCAATGCATAGGTAATCGTCTTCTTTGGCCTTTCCAATGCATAGGTAATTGTCTTTTTTGGCCTGTCCAATGCATAGGTAATCGTCTTCTTTGGCCTGTCCAATGCATAGGTAATCTTCCTCTTTGGCCTGTCCAATGCATAGGTAATCATCTTCTTTGGCCTGTCCAATGCATAGGTAATCTTCTTCTTTGGCCTGTCCAATGCATAGGTAATCATCTTCTTTGGCCTGTCCAAGGAGACCCAAACCTGCAGATGGCGGTCATGCATTCCAGTCCCCCACCTCCTACGCAGGTGGCCAGCGGGGCGCGCCCCCCCAGCACAGGAGGCCTACGGGAGGTGCGCAGCCCCCCCAGCGTGGGCGGTCATTGGGGGGCGCCCCCCCCCACCCCACCACACGGGCACTCGGCTGGTGTGTGGCCCCTCTTGTGCGGGCGGCTGGCGGGCGCCTGCTTCCCCCACTGCTGCCATCCTGGCTCCAAGAATTCTCTCCAGACCAACTTGCAGCAGTGTGGTGGCTTCACTGTACCAGTCTTGAGGAGGGCCGGTGCCCAGCATCCATCTTGGGTGAGGGAATCCATTCGTTCTGGCTGTGGAAGCCTCATGAAGCTGCAGCAGCTGTGCGGCGCAGTGAGGGCTCTGCAGAGGGGGTTGGGAGCCACGAAACTCACCCATTTCTCCTTGGGAATCCTTGAATTCCTGTTGTTGAGCCTCGATCTTCACTGAGGGCCAGTCATCAACTGTTTAAGTGTTCAATTATCAATAAGCCGAAGTCTGTAGAAGGCCATAATGGCCCTGCTTTAAGTGGTTCGCTGCTCCCGCAGCTCACCATGCTGTCTCTGCCTCCGCCGCCATCTTGGATTCTCATAAATACACTTTTTAAACTTTATGAATCAGAAGAGTCATATTTGAAACACTTTGTGCACTAGTCAATATTTTTACATTGTTAGAATCTGTCTTACGTGGACTTGATTCTGGAAAGTAAATCTTTTACAACTGCTTTGGTGCACAGGTGGTTTTTTACGGTAGACACTTGACAAGTCTTGTGTTCACATGGTGGCTCTTGAGGCGTCGTGGTGCACATTGTTGCCACTCAGCTTTCACTGGCCAGAATGAGATGCTTGGTTCAGCAGGTCTCTGTGATTTACAGCAAACTGTCCAATTTGGGGAGCCCATGAGTGGAACAAATGGTCAAGTGCTTGACTAACTAAAAAGTTAGCAGCTCAAACTCATTGAAAGACCCTCGGAAGAATGACCTGGCACTCAGCTTTCTAATGACCACAGCCTAAAGGCCCTTTGGACAAGGTCCAGTCTGGCAGGAGGTCTCCATGAGTGGGAACTGACTTGAGGACAGCTGGCGACTGGTTGGTAATGACAGGTATTTGCTATCTCATTCACTACCACACAGAGTTTTTCTGTGTCTTTTTTCTGAGAGCAGCTTGGCTTGAGCCTCTGACTCATGAGACTGCAGTGAAGGTGGCAGCCCGTTGCTGTGGAGACGCCCCTGGGAGAAGATTCCCTCCTGACCCCTCTGTATGAGCACCTGAGGCAGAAGCCACCGCCTATTCATAACCTCATCTCAAAAGTGACATCTCATTACTTCTGCTGTCTGGCTTCTCGGACGGAGAGTCACGTTTTCCATTCAGGACCCAGGAAGGGCTTACACAAGGGTTGAGTGCTCAAGAGACAGCTGCCTTAGACATCGCCTTCCACATAAGATCACAGAGAAGAGTATGTGTCCAGCT